TGCTATTGTGCCACTCACTACAAGCGAGTGGACGTCCACGAAACAACTCCAGTGCCAAGGCTGAAGCAGTAGTATTGAGAGGACTTGTGGTTCTCCACGTTGTCAGCCCAAGAAGTGTCTGTATGACCCGTGAGTGCAATTGGCTTGCGTCCTCCAAGCACAAGCATCATGCCTGATGTACTCGCCAGATGTCGCAGTACCCTCTTGGTTGCCGTCCATTAGCCAGGTCGGTGTCTCCCTGTTGCCACAAAGCGAGCAATGATGTTGAGAGGGAACGCTAGGTCAGGACGATTGTAAGTCATTAGTTACATGAGGCACCCCACCAGGTCTACGTACTAACCACTAGGCTCAACAGGCTTGTCAGGAACAGGAGCCGTGAGCCCATGGTCAACTGCAAGAGGGGTGGGCTATGCTGAGGAGAACTGAAAGCGAAACCGCTCGAGGATGTGCTGCACCATGTGTGATTGAGTCAAAGTAATGGTGTGCGCTGCTCTGTTCCTGGTGATCTGCAAGCCAACGTAGTGGCGCAGCTCACCAAGTTCAGTGCAGGTGTGTCTCCTCTGCGGTTCCAAAATAAAATAAAATAACACTCTACCGGCAGCAGCTCGGTTACCCCATTTTTGTGCCATTACCAGCCGGCCGAAGTGGTCCTACATTGCAATCCGCTCGCCCTGAGGAGGCACGTATGACGGATCTACGACAAGCATTACCGTGCTTCATATCCGTACCAGAAGTCGGCCTAACCAACAGAGTCATTGCACCGCCTAACTTCCAACTACTAGGCTATATCGATACCGGTCAAGCTTGCCGAGAAACGCTAGTAGAAAGTTTAGAAACAGAAAGGGGGATTGCACTAGCAGCAGGTAGGATACATATAGCAAACCCTAATTTGGGCTGTACTCACTATAGAGTACCCCACTGCAGACTAGACAATTATAGCATTCCGACACACCCCATAGGCAAAGTGGGGTATGATCAGCACAGCAAGCAGTCGCATAAGAAGTTCACAAGCACAATCAAAGCTAGAGGCAGTCACAGAAGGCAGGTGAGGAGGAGGAGGGACTGTGAGAGGAGTGGAGATAGGAGGCGACGGATGAAGCCGCAGACACACGGGCAACAGGAGCGGCGCGCACGGTGGCTACCGGAGCAAGGGCCCCGGACTACAGGAGTAACTGGCTCCGCGGCTAAGACGAGCGGCAGGAGCAACGGACCCACGGGCAACTGGCGCAGCGACGGCTCGCTGGGCTACCGGAGCAAGGGCCCCGGACTACTGGCGCTGCTGATGTCACGACGGCTACCTCCACTCAACCTCCCAAAACTGTCCCACACCCCTTTCACACACCCCTTGCTGCACCCCTAGCTCCACTCCCACGACACCCCCCTAGCGCCACTCCCTCGGCTCCCACACACCCACCCCCCTCAGCGGCAGCTGCAGCAGTGGGAGACGGAGGAGGAGGAGGAGCAGGGGACGGCTCACACACCCGCCACCCCCATACACGCCACCCCCATACCCCCAACGCAGGGGGCGCGCGTGCGGCGTGGGGCAGAGACGCGGGCAGCAGCTGGGGCGCTGCGACGGGCGACGGGCAGGGCGGCGCGCGGGCCCCCAGGGCGCCGCGACGGGCGACGGGAGGGGGCGACGTGCGGGCCCCCAGGGCGCCGCGACGGGCGACGGGCAGGGCGGCGCGCGGGCCCCCAGGGCGCCGCGACGGGCGACGGGAGGGGGGCGACGCGCGGGCCCCCAGGGCGCCGCGACGGGCGACGGGAGGGGGCGGCGCGCGGGCCCCCGGGACGCCGCGACGGGCGACGGGAGGGGACAGCGCGCGGGTCCCCGGGGCGCCGCGACGGGCGACGGGAGGGGGGACGGCGCGCGGGTCCCCGGGGCGCCCCGAGCGCGTGGCGGGCAGAAAGCGCCGCGCGCCTCGAGCGCGTGGCGGGCAGAAAACCGCCGCGCGGCGGGAAGAAAAAAACGCCGTGTGCGCCGGGCGCGCGGCAGGCAGAAAACGTCGCGCACCCCGGGCGCGCGACAGGCAGGACAGCAGCGGAAGCAGGTGGGCCCACAGGCCAGGAGCGATCTCGCTCTGATAGCATGTCGAGAAACGCTAGTAGAAAGTTTAGAAACAGAAAGGGGGATTGCACTAGCAGCAGGTAGGATACATATAGCAAACCCTAATTTGGGCTGTACTCACTATAGAGTATTCCACTGCAGACTAGACAATTATAGCATTCTGACAAAGCTGGTGATACTGGCATCAAACGCTCTCGCATTGTCTTTATCTTTCGACTTGAACTCATCGTCATTTCATATGCCGATTATGAGTTTATCGCCACCATCGCAGCTGCTCGCAAATAACTTTACATGCAAGATTTATGACCACATGTGTTTGAGTGGCATCTTACAGGGCGTTGTTCGCAAAATCCAAACAAACAATATGGTGGGCCAAAACTTCGGCCGACCCACTTGGCAAAAAAATGGTGACATGTGTGACCGTTACTAGCTTCCTGCGATGTGCCTTGGTTTGGTGCAGCTAGAATATTGAACAGTAGAACGACATACTATGATGAAACATATTTGATGGGCGTGGAATGGTACAATGCTCATGTCTTGCATTTTTCATTGTTGATAAAAAACGGGGACACCATGATGCTATCGATATCAAATGAAACATATATGCTGTCATCATTGTTACGAATTGTGATTATTGAAACACTACTGTGCACTTCTCACCGCTGCAAGCGAAGCACGCACTACCGAGGCTGAAGTCGAAAGGGCGGAAGCAACGCGAAAGGTCGCACAGTTACGAAAGGATCTGGACCGTCGGGCAGACAGCATCAGGCAGCAGTAGTGGCGAGGATTCTGCCCGAACAGTTTCGTAACTGTCTGGAGTCGCACGGTTGGATTTCGCTGTAATAAAGAAATGTACCCCTTAGAGTACATGGCTAGCTAGGTCGTTTCGAATTCCCCTGTACTCATATTTATATTCCTTGTACTTGCATGTTTTAATTATCTCAAACATTTTACATTTACTCTGCTATTGAGGTCACGGGCCCACCACTACTCGACTGTGTGCGAACCTTCCTGAGGTGATCCTAGGCACGATCAAATTCTGATCGCAACAATCATTCATAGATGTGCTTATCGGTATAAGGATTCAATTATCTGCATGTCGTTGCCTCAAGCCTCACAACATATAAAATATAATTAGAAGATAAGTGTGTTCAGTTACACGACCCAACGCATACATATGAGACCTGTATTGTCGCTAAAAGAATCTCCGCGATTGTCGAACCCAGAACTACGGAGGGCTGCCTAGGCAGTCGACGTGGCCGCAACGCTTCGCATCCAGCACTCAAACAGGGTAAGTGCCCTCCAGACCAGACTACTTCCTTTGGTCCATCCCGACCAGGCCTGTCGTTTGGTTTTGGGCCCCCCGGACAAATCAGGGGGCCCGGCATGTACGACCCTGTATTTAGCAGGGTCGGAACGACTTTCGGCCCTTTAGGCTTCAGGGCTGGAAAATTTTCCTCCCTTTAAATCAGGTTTGGCAAAATTTCTGCAGTCTCATTTCAACTACAAAGCTTACACTATGCAAGTACTACAACAAGCAAACACTACATAACAAAAAAACTAGTTAGCGTCATTTCACTATGCACACTTAGCAGGCTTCCGACCCTTAACACATTGAAGTTTTTTTGCACTTATACCCACTCCCAAGGGAGCGAAGCTGGGATTGGCGCAAGCACAAGTTCTAGGTTTTTTGCCCAACCACGCAACTCCAAATTTGCCAGGTTGGATGCAACCAGGATGGAAACGGGGGGGAGGGGGGAGTGGAGGAGTTGGGGGGGGGGGGGGGGGGTTGGGGCTCGAAATATCTGGTTCCAGGGCTCACCTAAAATATACCCTACACACCAGGCCTAAGCCCAAAATCAGCCCTGTAAGGAATCAGGTCTGGAATTTTTGCAACCCATCAATTTCAGCTTTCAAGGGCAACCCAGCCCTGGAATTCAAGGTCCAGCAGGGCAAACGCCCTGCTAGCGACAGCCCTGATTCCGACGTTTACGGATGTCCTGTTTTTGAGTTTGGCAGTCCCCAAGCCCAGACTCCAGACTGTGAGTGCACGATTCTGGAAGGCTAGTTGATAAAAAAATGTGCTCGTGAAACCAAAGGGTTGATGTGGCTGAAAGAAAGTTTTGAGGTACAGTACATTACCCAAAAACTTCACGGGTAATGCTGCTGACCCGTCGGCTCCACCCATAAATGCGGAAGGAGGTCGCGTCTTTGCCACAACTCTCGGGATTCGGGTCCTTCGAAGTTTGCGGTCAGCAAATGAGGTCGGTTCGGGTTCTTGGTGAGGAGGGCGGGTGCGGAAAGGGGAATGATGGATGGATGGAACTGGACTGCGTGACGAATAATTGTTTCTTATTGTTTTAACATTGTGTGCTGAGTCGGCAATTGAGGATGTGAAGTCAGCTACCGCTGCTGAATTGAGATGCAACATATCTATTTATATTTCGGTGGCAAAGAAACAAGATGCGAATCAACAGGTCTTGAGAGCAGCGTCAACTGAAAAATTATTTAGATGTTTGTTCAATGCGCATCAAGAGTTTTGGGGAAACAGTCGGACCTAAACAGACAATCCTTATAACCCTAGGTTCACAGACTGTACAATTATGAAAGAAAGAGGGTGCCCGCTCGATACGTCAATAGCCAAGTCGTTTCCATCACCTCCACCCTCTTGTCACTTGCAGTGAGCTGATGTGCTTCCAGAATCATCAGGATGCTTCCATAGTCTAGACATGCTTCTGCCGCTTTACTGTTACCCCTCTCTGGCAGCAGTTGAGTCCAGGTACACGTAACAGCTTTCGGAACCGAACTGTAGTTTTCGTCGCTACTATTGGTCTTCCTTACGACGACTTAGTTGGTGATTATCTGAGAGCCGCGATCGTAGGCACAAGGAGGGAGCCTCACATTCTTAATTGTCCGTAAAGTCCAGCCCACCATGCCTCGCGTACCGCGTCCGTCCGCTTCTCCTATCCTTCCTACTAAAGACTACGCGTCCGCGTTGCACGCGACGAGACAATTGCAGCAAGAGCAGGAGGACAGGCAGGAGCAACACGTCCGAAAGGCCAAGCAGCAGCGAAAAAAATCAAAACATCAGCAGCGAACTAACAATGAGCTGCGAACACCGACGCAAAGGGAAGAGCGGCACAAAACGAGCCAGACCCATCAATGGCGGTTGGGTCCTCAACCAAGTCCGCTGACCGAACCTTTACTGGGTGGAACGAGTCAAGCGGGAATAGCGGTGGAAGCCGAAGGCGCAAGCTCTCGTTCCGGGCCGCAGATCTCCTCCTCCTCTCTATCGCCTTTACGATGGATTTTACCTGGTTTTGTGAGTTTCCGCTCACAAGGCGGCTTGAGCGGCCCCGCTGTGGTCCCGGCAACTCATTCTTCCGCGCAAGCATGCGCGCCAGCTTCCACCCGCCTTCCCCCGCCCCCCCTGCTTGCCCCGAGTTCTGCCACCGCCTCCCCTCCCCCGCGCCCAATTGCCTCCCTCGCGGAATCCTCCGCGATCGCCGCTGCAGCTGCGGGGCTCGCGCTGAGTGGAGAAAGCAGCCTCGAGAGATTAGAGACGGGAGGAGCAGCGGGGGGAGGGGAACAGCAGTACGCAACCGGAGCGCGGGAGTGGCGGAGCGCGGGGAAGGGGGCGACGGCGGGCGGTGCTGGTCGCGGAACGGCGGCGTGGGAAGGCGAGGTCGAAGGGGAAGGAGATGGCGAAAGCGGACACGCGATCGCGCGTCGATTAGAGTGGTCGTTACCAGTGTGTAAGGGGAGCGAGGCGGGGAGAGTGAGCGAGGAGTGTGAACAAGACGGCGGAAAGGAGAGAAGTCGGAAGAGGAACGGCCAGAGGCGGCCGATTCTCAGGTGGATATGGCGGTCGGCGAGTGTCTCGAGTGAGGAGAGAGAGGGGAGTGCGGAGAGAGAAGAGGGAGAGGAGGACGAGGAGAGCGATGAGGGAAGCGACGGGAGCGACGACGAGAGTGACGAGCGCGAGGGCGAGGAGGAGGAGCGGGAGGGGGGAGTGGCGGAAGCAGCGGCGAAGGCTGTAGCGCCGGTTGTTAGCGCAAGGCGGGCGGGCAGAGGGAGGAGCAGAGCGAAGACGAGTGGGCTGTGGCGCAAAGAGGCGATGGTCGCAGAGGCCAAGCTACAAGTCACGTAAGAAGCCGTGACCCCGCATTCTCTCGCTCCTTTCCGTCGCTCCTTCCTCTCTCTTCTCCTTTTTGTTTTCACATGGTTATCGAGTCAACTCTGAAGTTTCCTCCTTGTGCTCTTTGTCGCCACCCTGTGCCACCTGTCCCACTCTTTTCCCCTCTCTTCGCCCTTATCCTCACCTTTCTCCTTCCACCTATCCTCCGTCTTCCTCGTCGTCCTCTCCTCCGTCCCCCTCCCATCTCCGCCCCACCAGCATGGCATGGCCAATGATGGCGGCTAATCTCCTGCAGAATCTCATGACGCTTATTCCTCTCGCCTTCGTCGGTCGTCTGGGCCCTCTCCCGCTCGCCGCCGCGTCTATCGCGACGTCCTTCGCCAACGTCACCGGTCACATCCTGCTCGTGAGTTTGTCCTTCTGCTCCTGCTGATGTGTTGAAATCGCTTTTGGGAATTCTCAAAAGTGATGCCAACTCGCCGCCGCGTCTATCGCGACGTCCTTCGCCAACATTACCGGCCACATCCTGCTCGTGAGTTTGTCCTTCTGATCCTGCTGATGAGATTGCTGTTCTTGCTCGTGAGACCGCCGCGCTGCCGCTGCTGTTTCAAGCGTCCAACACATATTTACGGAGTTTTTAAGTTGTTTTATAGCATGCAACATTCTATTTATGTTATAGGTGCAACGTAGTCAGATTTTGTGCTTGTGAGGGGTGCTTGTAAGCGGGGTGCTCGTGAGCGGGGTGCTTGTGAGAGGGGTGCTTGTAAGGGGGGGTGCTCTTGCTCGTGAGAGGGGTAGCTCTGCTCCTGCCCGTGAAAGAGATCCTCCCGCACCCTCCCGTCCACCTAGCATCGCCGCTGGCCAATTACCATTCCTGCCCCCTTTTCCCCAGCTTTCCCCATCTCTTCCGCTACATCTGAATCACCATCAATTTCACTGTCAACCCCCCCGTCCCCCTCCTCCCGCCCTCCCTTCCCCCCCACTCCCACCCCTCCATCCTTCCCCATTCCCCCCACTTCACCCCCGCCTTCCCCGCAACTCCATGCGACAGCAAGGCCTAGCAAGCGGGCTAGAGACCCTCTGCGGGCAGGCGTTCGGGGCGGGGTGTCCGCTGCAGCTGGGGCTGCACCTGCAGCGCGCGCTGCCCTGCATGACTCTCGTTGCCACGCCCTTGGGTGTCCATTCAAGTCGCTGGCAACCCTCCGTCCCCCTCCGCCCCCCTTCGTACCCCTCCCCTCCCCTCCATCCTTCCCCTATCCTCCCCCCCCTTCATCCCCCTCTTCCCCGCAACTCCATTCTACAGCAAGGCCTAGCAAGCGGGCTAGAGACCCTCTGCGGGCAGGCGTTCGGGGCGGGGTGTCCGCTGCAGCTGGGGCTGCACCTGCAGCGCGCGCTGCTGTGCATGACTCTAGTCGCCACCCCCGTGGCCGTGCTCTGGTGGTTCACGGAGCCGCTGCTGCTGCTGCTGCACCAGTCCCCGGACATCGCTGCTCTGGGCGCTGTGTATATTCGCTGGCTGCTGCCGAGTCTCGCTGCTGCTGTCGTCATGCAGTGCCTCGAGAGGTGGGTGGGATGGTGGGAGGGGTGGTGGGACGGATGGGGGGAGGGATGGGGGGGGGGGAGGGATGGGGGGAGGGGTGCTGGGAGGGATGCTGGGAGGGATGGTGGGAAGGAGGACGGGTGGGAGATGTATGTGGGTCGCCGATGTGATGTTTCGAAACGGGGCAAAGAGGGACGAGGAGAGGTACGGGGGTGTGGGGTGCGAGGATGGGGCAAGGGATGCACGCATTTGTACCATTTTACAACCTTAAAAGTCCAATTGCACTACCAAATAATGACAAAGCTGAATGTTAAAGTGGGGTGATAGGGAGAGGGGGGATTTTCTGTGCGGGATAATGGCGGTCCGAGGACGGTGAGTAGGGGTAGGAGGTTTGAGTAAAAGTGAAGGGATGAAGGTGTGCACGGGTCATGCCTGGATACATCCCTATTGCGGCTTAGTTCAACGAGTGTAGTATACTCCGTATAGCACACACGGTGGCACTGAAAGCAATGCGTGTGATTGCACTTCAAGGAAAAAAAAACCCTTCAAAATGCACAGCAATTGCACGGCAAAATGCCTCTTGTCACTTGCGTCTCGGAAGAGCCTTCGAGCTGCCTCTCACTCACCTTCTAGTGCATGCTCAGGCAGCCCTCACTACAACTCACCACTGCTACCCCTTTCTCTTCACTCTGCATTCCTCTCCCTCCCCCACCCCCCTTTTCCCCATCCCCTTCTCTCTCCAGATTTTCCATCTTCCTCTCGCCTCCTCCTCCTCCTCAAACCTTCTTTCACCCCCCCTCCCCCTGACCACCCCTTCCCTCACTGACGTCCTCTCCTCCCATCCCCTCCCCACTCCCCACTCCCCCCCATACTCCACTCCCTTCCCCCCCCCCAACCCCCCCCCACCCTTCCCCGCAGATATCTGCAAGCCCAGTCCGTCACCTTCCCCATGGCCGCCTGTGCGCTCGCAGCAGTACTCCTGCAGTTCCCTCTCACCTTCCTCCTCGTACACACTCTCCACTGGGGCCTACCAGGGGCCGCCATAGCTGTCTCTCTGGCCTATATGCTGGATCTGCTGCTGCTGCTTGGCTACATTCGCTGCACCGGCGTGTCCAAGGCTGCGTGGGGTGGGTATAGTATGGAGGCGTTTTGCGGGTGGGAGCCGTTTCTGCAGCTCGCCTTGCCGTCGGCTATCATGCTGTGGTGAGTGGAGGGTGGAAGGGGCGAGGGGAGAGGGGGGAAGGTGAGGGCCGGGGAAAAGGGAGGTTTGGGGGAGTGGGAGGTAAGAGGGGAATGGAGTAGGGGAAAAGGAGTGGGGAGGGAAGGGGGGAAAAGAGTGGAAAGGGAAGGTGGAAGGGAAAGGGGGTGTGAGAAAGGGAGGAGGGTAATGGGATGTTGGCAGAGCAGGTCGACTGAGGCAGAGCAGTATGCCTCTAACAATGGCTTTTGGCTGGGTTTCTTTTCCACAAATTATGCCTCTCAAGTTACTCTTTTTGCTGCACTTTATGCCGTATGCTGTTTCTCTCCGTCATTAAACCTCTTCTCCTCGTGTCCCGCTTCCTAGTCGTTCCGTCTGTAATCCATTCCTTTCCCCTACCCCGCTCCCGCTTCTCCCCCTCCGCTGCTGCTCAGCCTTGAGTACTGGAGCTTCGATATAGTCACACTTCTGGCCGGCCTCTTGCCTAACCCTGACATCCAAGTAGCCGGCCTCTCTGTTGTGTAAGTGCCCTCATGCTAAAGGCCCCCACTGCTTCCTAAAGCTCGCCTATCATGAAACGGTTTCATCCTGTTAGGAAAACGTTTCTTGTATTCGAGTCTTGAGATGTCGGAAGGTCTCAAGATTGCTCTTCTCCCACCCACCTTCCCCTCCCCTCTCCCTTTCAGTCTGAACACGTCAGTGATGGCGTTTGTACTGCCGTATGGCTTTGGCGTGGCTGTCAGCACGCGAGTGGCCAATGAGCTGGGGGCAGGAGACGAGATTGCAGCCCAGCGAGCCGCCACAGTGGGAGTGCTGTGGGCGCTGTTTGAGGCCACGCTCGTCTCCTCGGCTCTGCTCACTGTCCGCTCCTCCTGGGGCTGTGTGTTTAGCACATCCCCTGAAGTTGTCGCCTTCGTTGCTGCCATCATGCCTCTGCTTGTCGCATCTGTCGTAACTGATGCGGTCAATGCTGTTTTGTCAGGTGAAATTTCTGGGAAGATTTTTGCCGGGTTTGTTTGGTTCGATTTCCCCAGGTCTGTTAGTTCCTCTGATATATCTTGGCTCGTTCCCTCGGTTCTTTAAGCCCTTTTACATGATTTTTTTGTTGTCATTATCTGTCATGTACCTCGCTGCTCAGCCATTGAATCACACTGCTGCCTGCACTTCGGCAACCCTCAGCACTCTCAATCTCTGTTATACCCTCTTGCCCACCACCCCACCTGCAGGCATTGTGCGTGGATCAGGCTATCAGCAAGTGGCTCTTGTTGCCAATCTTGCAGCGTATTACCTCTTTGGTCTCCCACTTGCTGCCCTACTCGCCTTCTACCTCAAGTTGGGAAGTGTGGTAAGAACTTTTTATTTTTCCTGGCTTACATTCAGCTTTATTTATATTATTTGTTTGTTCTCACCTCGACATCTTTCTTTTTCCTGAACCACTGTTTCTTTCCTTGGGGTCATTGCACTTACCTCTCTTGTTCCATACGTCTTCTTTTTTCTTGCCCTGTGTATCATAGGGTCTGTGGTCAGGGCTGACAATTGGCACATGCGTGCAGCTAATCAGTATTGCAGTCATCATGGCAAGAATGGACTGGTCACAAGCGGTATGGCCCTGCATGTGTTTCGTTTTCCCAAGCCCCGTGCACACATGCAGGATACTCTCCTGAACGTGGTGATTTTGGTCGTGGCTCTGCTTTACAGTATGCTGCTCCTCCTTGGCCGCTTGTGTTTGCAGGTTGATGTTGCCCGGGAGCGTGTGGAGTCATCCATGTCCATGGACGACAAGGTTACATACTACAAAAACAGCAGCAATGACTTGATGGGTCTTGGAAGCAGCTTGATTTGCGCCAACGACCAAGACACTAAGGGCGTAACCCCCAAGGGGGGCCATTCCTCCCAGGATGATCTAGACGCTATGCACATTTTGTGCTGAGTCTTGCAACATATGGTTGAGCTGACCATTGTCAATGTTGATTTCTCTCCCCTGTAGATCTTGCGCCAGGCCACCAGATTGGTTGTCCTCTATGCCGGTATCAGGGTTATCTATCAATGGGCTCTGTTCTCTGGGTATACTTGGCAACCAACTCCTGTCATCCAAGTAAACAGTCTGTTGAATCAGCCCTGGTACACAAGTCAGTTCAGAAAGCCTGGAATGAAGGGCATGTTTTGCATAAGTGTCTTCATTGCCAAATCGAGCAGAATTCAGCTGCAATGCCTGCAAGCAATGATTCTAAAATAATGTCTCCAGCATAAAGTACACAGGACCTTGAACCATACCTTCTTGAATTCTAGATACTGGTCTGATCAGAGCTAGGAAGCTTTACGCCCTATTACATGGTGCCTCAGCCTCATTTTATATAATCATTGGAAGTTCCTTTTTCACCACCTGACGTAACGAGACGTTATCATACTGCATAGAGATACGTGTCGGGCATGATGGCCTTAGACTCTGATCGCTTGGACATCTTGGCTCGAGACCGGCTGGAACAAAGACTGCCGTCGCTCGTTTGTTCTGGTTGTTTCATAAGCTTCGTGGATCCATGGTTGAAGTGATCTTGACCGAAGGAAGTGGAAACGTCAAGCTCGTCCTCAATGTGCATCTTGTACTTCTTGAATTCCTCAGCCGTCACATTCAGCGTGAAATTGATTCGAAACAGAAAGTCAAGCTCAAGCTTATTAATTTCACTTGTTCCAATTCCTCCAACGGTGGCAAAGCACGCGTTGTTGAAATACCTGCAAGAAAAAAACGCATTGTTAGACGTTATTGCGAAAAATGGCCCAGAAAATAAAGTGTTTCGCCTGCAATACTCAATACTCACGCAGATCCCAGAAACTTCGCTGCGACCATAACGCTTGTGACCAGAAGACGGTGAACGTTGAGAGATGTGATTGGCATTCCCGTCGACTTCATGATGCGGTCAATGTAGACGTACGAAACCACGACTGAGTCAGGACAGCACCTGGTGTACTTGTAGACCCTTTCCAGATACTTCTGAATTGTTATATCAGGAGCACGTAGTCCATGATATAATGTGACTTCATCAGGAAGAACTGGACGGGAGCCTTCTTGAGCCTCGCAAGCTATCACAATTCTTTCCAGTAATGATGCCAGACCTTCCAAGAGGTTCGTCAAGGAACTGCCGCTGGTGACAGCTGCAGACCTGATGCTGCTGGCTGAAGTTGTCGTTGTTACGGTGCTTCCGGCAGGCTCGCTGCTGAGAGTACTAGCGGAGCTTGCCGTGCCAACGTGAGAGCTAGACTTCCTGGAGGCGAATCCCCTCGTTCCCATGTAAGGACCTGTCATGTTTGTGTTTGATGGCTCCAACACTGGGAGCTGAGAAATTGTGGTTTGGATAAAGAGCTGGTGTTGAATTTGAGCTCAGTTCGAGCAGGGGAAAGTGCACTGCGGCTCGATGGCTCGAATCTCCGTTGAACTGCGAATGACGTGGTTGACGCCCACCTGGCGCTTCGAAGTTTGCTCTCTTCGGGCCCTTTGGGAATTGGGATTTTTTCATAGCGAGGATGACGATACTCTTGGTTCGATCGAGGAGGTACAATCGACACAAACATTCATGTCATTTCTCCATGTCTACATAGACAATATGTATTTGTAAAAGGATTTGAAAGGGATATTATGTTCACACCCACATAGTGGTAATAATAAATTGCGTTTTTTGGTATTCCAGAGTTTTAGCTGACCAAATTCTTTACTTTAAGCTCGTAACTGATTAGGGATCAGCAATTGGAAATATATTCATCACAAATATCCATATACAAAATCGTACATCTAATAGCAAGTAAGCTATAGCTGTGAGTTGTTACACAGAACAATATCAACCTAAACAAATTAAGACGACCCACGAGAGTGCTCATGCTTTGCACCGCTTGGTCCTGATATTATGTCTCCCATCGACCCCATCTCGCCATCACTCTCCCCTTCACTCTCCTCCCTTTCAATCTCATCCTCAGCAATCACCATATCCTCCACACGTTCCTCACTCCCAGTGTACTCGCCTGCACGAGCAAACTCACTCAGAAACAACGAGGTTTGACGCAAACCACGCACCCTCCCTCCACTCCTCCCTCTCGCAACACCTTCTCCATCCACATGCTCTCCATCTTGATGCAGACCTTCAGCACCAACACCCACACCACCATCAGCACTTCCACTCGTCGCCCCACTCTCCCCTTCAGCACCACCATGCCCCTCATGTGCGTTCCACACATGCCCTCCTTCGTCAGTGAGTAACTCATCTCCACCTCTCCTTCTTCCCACTTCCTCTAGCCCCACCGGTACTCTCCCATCCGTGCGCCACTCCGACTCACTCACAGCCACTGCCCGCAACTGCTCCTTCAACTCAGCGTCCCCACCACTCTCCCTCCCTTCCACTCCCCCTCCTCCACTCCCGCTCCCCATGGAGGCTACTGCTCCATTACTGCCATGCGGGGGGACGAAATTAGCAGTACCGTTCAGGCTGCCTTGATGTGCCGAAGCGGCTGCTGTTGCAGCTGCGGCCGCCGTTGCTGCTGCTACTGCTCCAGACAAAGATGCCTCTGTTTCAGCTACATTGACAGAAGCAGCAGCAGCCGGTGTGTGAGTGGCATGAGCAGCAGGCCTGGGTGTCGGTGCCAGGGCAGGGCGCTCTGAGTCCTGCAGCATCCACATGGCAGCATACTTGCCCCCTGCTGCCAGCAGCTGCTCGTGCGTGCCCTGCTCCACCACCCTCCCTGTCTCCATCACCTGCACAGGAGAGATGAGGCCAGACACGCAGGGACAAGGCACAAGGGTGGAACATGAACGAACGGGAAGGGAGAAAGCATGTGTGACACAATATGAGGGTTGTTGGATAAGCAAGTATTGATCAGAAGAAACAGGTGCATTTCCCTGGTTCTTTGGCTGAGAAGCAATTTGGAAGTGAACAGTGCGCAAGGAGAAAACGTTGTAACAACAACCCTGCCCTCTCACCAGAATCTTATCGCAGTGCTTGATGGTGCTCAGCCTGTGCGCCACAAACAGACAACTCCTGCCGGCTGCCAGTTGCTGCAACGACCTCAGAATGTTAGCCTCGGTTGCAGAATCCAGAGCACTGGTGGCCTCGTCGCACACCAGCAGGCGCGGGTTCTTGAGGAAGGCGCGCGCGATGGCCACTCGCTGCTTCTCCCCGCCGCTCAGCTTCAGCCCTCGCTCGCCCACCACCGTGTCGAATCCGTCTGGCATGCGGCGAATGGCGTCCAGGAGTTTCTGCACCAGGCAAGTGAATAGTGGGGGGCGAGGAGAGGAAGGGGGAAGAGGGGAATGGAGGGAGGGGATGAGAAACGGAGTGGAAGGGGAAACGCAACACATGATTTCAGCAAATTCAGCAAATGCATGCATCTGTGTGTGCGTGCAGGAGGACAAGCAAGAATAGGCATGGATGCGTGCATGTAGTGTCCGCTAACATGAACATGTATGTAAGTGTTCTTGTTTGTATGCCTGAATGTGTCCATGCACCCATGCATCCCATGCGCCTGTGTCCTCACACGCCCATGCACCCATGCAAGCATGGCAGGTGGCACTGACCGCCTGACCAGCCGCGCGGTCGACCTCAGCAACAGAGGCGGAGGGGCGGCCGTAGGCAATGTTGTAGCGGATGCTGTCGTTGAACAGCACTGTGTCCTGTGGCACCACCGCCACCGCCTGCCGTAGTGACTCCTGTGTGGGCGGAGGGAGGAAAAGGAGGGGACTTTCTTATAGAGCTGCCTCGCTAGAGAATGTGCTGCTCGTTGAGCAATACCGTGTTCTGTGGTACCACTGCCACCGCCTGCCATAACACTTCCTGTGGAAAAAAGGAGCGGAGAGGAAAGAGGAGAGGGGGCAAGTCAAGAAGAGTCTAACTTAAAACATGTGCTGTCGTTGTCAGGTTGAGCTGCCACAACCTGATGTACTTATTCATGCAAGGGAAAAGGGGGTGGAGTGGGGATGTGGGAGATGGATGACGTGAGGTGATGGCGGTTTGGTGAGGGGAGAAGGGGATGTGGAGGACGAGAAAAGAGCCTGAGAGGATGAGAACGGAGGGAGGAGAAGTGAGAGGAAGCAAGCAGATTCTCCTCGGAACAGAGTGGGAGTGACTGGTAAGGTGAAAGAAGATAGCAATCGTGTCCACACACTTGCAGTGTGCTGCAGCTGCAATGCAGCGCACATACTGCACACCACAAACTATCATTCGTGCTGCTCCACCATCCCCCCACCAGCTTCTCACCCTGCCCCCAGCTGCTCCCCTCCCTCCTTCCCCCCACCTGCTTGAGCTCGCGGGCATCAGTGCCATCAAAGGAGATGGAGCCCTCAGAGGGGTCGTACAGGTGCAGCAGCAGCTTCACTATCGTTGACTTGCTCCCCACTTGCTCCCCACTTGCTCCCCACTTGCTCCCCACTTGCTCCCCACTTGCTCCCCACGTGCTCCCCACTTGCTCCCCACTTTCTCACCACTTGTTCACACCCCCCACCTGCTTGAGCTCGCGAGCATCAGTGCCATCAAAGGAGATGGAGCCCTCAGAGGGGTCGTACAGGCGCAGCAGCAGCTTCACTATCGTTGACTTTCCCGACCCCGATGGCCCCACGATCGCCACACTCTCGCCCGGCGCTATGGAGAACGACACCCCTTTGAGCACCTGCACGGATGGAGGCGGAACAAACGACCGTGAACAGGGATGGGGCTGAGATTTAGAGTTGGAGGAAAAACTCTTGCCTGGCGATATAGAGGAATTCCATCAGCATCTGCAGGGATGGTGGTGGAGAGAGGGGCGGGAATGGGAAGAGGAGCGAGATGAGACAAATACAGGAGAGGAGGGCTCACAGGAAGAAGGGGGGCCAGGGAGAGAGGGATGGAGTGAGAAAAAAAGGGAGCAGGGGGAGTTGTGACCAGCTGAGGATAACTGGATGGTGGTGACTGTAAATTGTGATCTTAGAGAGGTACCAACCCAGTTGCTGCCTCTGTACTGCCTTTTCCTACCCATCCTAAACCCCACTCCACTCCACTTCAACCTTCCACCCAGTCATGTACCAGCAGTCACAGCTGCCCGTGTCTACTGTCACACCCTCGCTGCCCTCCCAACCATATTCACAATCCCCCGTTGCACCCTACTGCCTGCGCCTCCTGGCTGTACCAGCCCAATCCCCCGGCCTCCAATGAGTGTCACCTGGCGGCCGTTCATGTAGCTGAAAGAGATATCCTGCACGTCCACTGCCACGCCCTCCGCCCTCGCTGCCAGCTCCAAGTCCCCATCCTTGAGGTCCGACTCCAGACTGGCCGCGTGAGGGGAGGGACGGCAGAAGAGAGCGAGGGAGGGAGGGAGGTGGGAGAGGGATGAGAAGAGGATGTGGAGAGGACATCACCCGAGCACATGGAGGACTACCCAAGCATGTGCGAAATCACCTGAGCTCATAGAAAATCACTTGAGCATGGGAGAGTCACCTGAGCATGCAAAGAATCATCTGAGCAGCATGTGCAGAATCACCTGAGCATGTGCAAAATCACCTGAGCATGTGAAGAATCACCTAAGCATGTGAAGAATCACCTGAGCATGTGCAAAATCACCTGAGCATGTGCAAAATCACCTGAGCAGTGAAGAATCACCTGAGCATGTGTAAAATCACCTGAGCAGTGAAGAATCACCTGAGCATGTGCAAAATCACCTGAGCATGTGCAAAATCACCTGAGCATGTGCAGAATCACCTGAGCATGTGCAAAATCACCTGAGCATGTGGAACATGGCCTCCATGTCAACAAGCGACTGGCGCAGGTCACGATACAGGAATCCCAGAAACTGGGAGTGGTGGGCGGATGGGGGGTGTGGAGAGGGTGGGGCCATCGCAAGTGCGGCAGCTAGCTAAAGAGATGAGTACTGCTGCAGGGCCAGTCTACACGGCGAGGATCAGAAGACTGTGTGAGGAGAAAATGGCAGGGTCCGAGTCTGAGAACTGGGCGAGTAGGGTCGGTACAGGAACTCAGACGTTGAGAGGGTTTAAGCGAGTGGGGTGCGGTGCGGTGAGGGATGGAAATGAAGGGACAAGCTGAATTTAAAACAAGGGGGGGGGGAAACAGTTAAAGAGCGCCGAAAGAAGGGGAGTACGACAGGAGAGAGTGGGAGCGAGAGAGGAGCAATGGGAGCAAGGAAAGTTGAAAATTTCAGGAGCGCAACGCAATGGAAAGCATTATGCAGTAGAGACTCGCACCTGCAGCGGTAGGGAGAGCTGCAGAATGAGACCGTTGACGAGCACTAGGTCTCCCACTGTCATGCGCCCCACGGCCACTCGCAGCCCCGCCATGGCCATCACTGCCGCCAGCCCTATGGATATTATGGTCGTCTGCCCCCCGTTCAGCGCCGCTGATACCTTCTCCAGGTTCACCTGGTGGGGGAGAAGGGAAGAGGGTGAGGGTAGGGGAAGGAGAGGGAGGGGAGAGGGCGAGGAAAGGACAAGGAGATGGCGAGGAGAGGGCGAGGAGATGGTTAGGAGGGATGGCCTCAGGTCGGTAAGGTGAGTGTGTGGTGTGATGCAGCATGGTACGGAGTGGTGTGATGCAGCATGGTACGGAGTGGTGTGATGCAGCATGGTACGGAGTGGTGTGATGCAGCATGGTACGGAGTGGTGTGATGCAGCATGGTACGGAGTGGTGTGATGCAGCATGGTACAGGGTGGTGTGATGCAGCATGGTACGGAGTGGTGTGATGCAGCATGGTACGGAGTGGTGTGATGCAGCATAGTACGGAGTGGTGTGATGCAGCATGGTACGGAGTGGTGTGATGCAGCATGGTACGGAGTGGTGTGATGCAGCATGGTACGGAGTGGTGTGATGCAGCATGGTACGGAGTGGTGTGATGCAGCATGGTACGGAGTGGTGTGATGCAGCATGGTACGGAGTGGTGTGATGCAGCATGGTACGGGGTGGTGTGATGCAGCATGGTACGGAGTGGTGTGATGCAGCATGGTACAGGGTGGTGTGATGCAGCATGGTACGGAGTGGTGTGATGCAGCATGGTACGGAGTGGTGTGATGCAGCATGGTACGGAGTGGTGTGATGCAGCATGGTACGGAGTGGTGTGATGCAGCATGGTACGGAGTGGTGTGATGCAGCATGGTACGGGGTGGTGTGATGCAGCATGGTACGGAGTGCTGTGATGCAGCATGGTACGGGGTGGTGTGATGCAGCATGGTACGGAGTGGTGTGATGCAGCATGGTACGGAGTGGTGTGATGCAGCATGGTACGGGGTGGTGTGATGCAGCATGGTACGGAGTGGTGTGATGCAGCATGGTACGGGGTGGTGTGATGCAGCATGGTACGGAGTGGTGTGATGCAGCATGGTACAGGGTGGTGTGATGCAGCATGGTACGGAGTGGTGTGATGCAGCATGGTACGGAGTGGTGTGATGCAGCATGGTACGGAGTGGTGTGATGCAGCATGGTACGGAGTGGTTTGATGCAGCATGGTACGGAGTGGTGTGATGCAGCATGGTACGGGGTGGTGTGATGCAGCATGGTACGGAGTGGTGTGATGCAGCATTGGTACGGGGTGGTGTGATGCAGCATGGTACGGAGTGGTGTGATGCAGCATGGTACGTAGTGGTGTGATGCAGGATGGTACGTAGTGGTGTGATGCAGGATGGTACGTAGTGGTGTGATGCAGGATGGTACGTAGTGGTGTGATGCAGCACGGTACGGAGTGGTGTGATGCAGCATGGTACGGAGTGGTGTGATGCAGCATGGTACGGAGTGGTGTGATGCAGCATGGTACGGAGTGGTGTGATGCAGCATGGTACGGAGTGGTGTGATGCATGATCAGAATAGTCACACCCGCACATGTGCACACGAGGGATAGCCTCACCCTCCTTCCCACATGGCACAGAGCACAGAGCAGCAGAGGGCGCAGGGGCACTCACGGATTCCCTCTGGTAGTCCCGCAGTAGCGAGTCATAGTGCATCAGATCCAGGCGCTGGTTGTTGAACTGCCATGGCCACGGGGAGGGGGGGACGGGGAAGGGGAGTTTTTGTGGTAAGACGGAGGAATGGTGTAGGGGGGAGATGGGGGGAGAGGGGGAGGGACGCAGCAAAGCATTGGGAGACGGCGTTCGCTGTCGCCTACCCTCCCCTATTCCCCGCCTTCTCCACAATTCCCCTTCTTGGAACCTCCTCTTCCCCACAAAGCTCCTGGCCAACCCTACTCCACGCCACCACTCCTCACCGTCTCTCACCGCACGGTCCAGCCTCACCCTGTGGCCTCACCTGCACGACAGTCTCGTGGTTTAGCAGCACGTCCACCACCTTGCCTGTCGCCAGACCGTCCAGGCGATTCACCTGCGGGGAGGGAGGGGCGAGAGGAGCGAGGGCCGAGAAAAGAGAGCAGGATACGTGGAGGAAAGGCGGGCTTGGAGTTGTGGTTTCGCAGCTCGTCCACCACCTTGCCTGTCGCCAGACCGTCCAGGCGATTCACCTGCGGGGAGGGAGGGGCGAGAGGAGCGAGGGCCGAGAAGGGAGAGCAGGATACGTGGAGGAAAGGCGGGCTTGGAGTTGTGGTTTCGCAGCTCGTCCACCACCTTGCCTGTCGCCAGACCGTCCAGGCGATTCACCTGCGGGATTGATTGCAGGAAGAGGTGGGGCAAGGATGGGGCAGGGGGGCCGAGGGAGAGTGAGCGAGAGTGAGGGGAGTAAAGGCATTGAAGGTATTCCTGAGCGAGCACTCAGGTATGCGAAGTGGGATTTGATTTGACGAGAAGCATGGTGCATATCTGGGACGATGACACGGACACACGGACACACGGATGAGCAGGGATACGGAGGTATGATCTGGGATGTGCGTGCGTGCGTGCATGTGCATGTATGTGCGTGCATGTGCATGTATGTGCGTGCATGTGCATGTATGTGCGTGCATGTGCATGTATGTGCGTGCATCGCAGCACCTCTTTGCGGATGGAGACGGAGGCCTTGGTGAGGTGAGTGAATGTATCAGTGACTCCGTACGGACGTTTCAGTGACTCTACAGATTTCCCAGAAGCACCTCTTTACGGATGGAGACGGAGGCCTTGGTGAGGGCGACGGTCCATGCCACGTAGACGACAAAGGTGAGCAGCACGACGCCCGCAAAGGACAGCGATATGTGGTTTGCGAGCAGCGCACACACCAGCAGCAGCTCCACTGCCGTCGGGATGAACGTGAACACTGGCAAGGGGGGGAAAGGGGGAGAGGAAGATGGTTGGGAGAAGTGGTGAGTGGAGAACAGAGAGAGAGAGCAGCGCACACACCAGTAGCAGCTCCACCGCCGTGGGGATGAATGTGAACACTGGGGTAAAGGGTGAGTGGGGGGGTGGAAGAGAGGGGGGGGAGAGGAAGAGGGTTGTAAGGAGTGGTGAGTGGAGAGGAGAGGGAGGGGAGGAGAAAGAGCAGGAAAGATCCACTGCTGTAGTAGGGATGAACGTCAACACTTCCCAACCACCCGCTTCGCGTCCCCAACAGTGTCCCATCATGTCTCACCAACAGCTCTGAAGATCATAATAATAGACCGCTTCCCCCGCTCAATGATGCGGGCCAGCGTGCCGGTCTTGCGGTCGAGGTGGAACGCGGAGTCCATGGCCAGGATGTGCGCGAAGCAGCAGGTGTTCTAACCGTTCCCAACCCTTCTCCATTCCCCTGCACGCCCAACTCCCTCCCTCCCCCCCCTTACCCCTTCCCCTGCCCCCATGTCTAACCCCTCTCCCTCCTCGTCCCCCCCGTCTCACCAACAGCTCGGAAGATCATGATAATAGACCGCTTCCCTCTTTCAATGATCCTAGCGAGTGCGCCAGTCTTGCGGTCGAGGTGGAACGCGGAGTCCATGGCCAGGATGTGCGCGAAGAAGTGGTACTCCACCCGCCGCCCCACCGCCTGCCCCACCGGCGTGAACACTATGTTGCGCAGCTCTGTGGACACCGCACTCACTGCCTGGAGTGTGAAGGGGATGCAGGGGGTGAATGTGCAGGGGGACAGGGGCAACGTGAGTGAATTGAGGCACTGTGGCGTGCATGCGTGCACATACACACCCTACAGCCTGCCCCGCGGGCGTGAACATGATGTTGCGTGAAGAATCACTGCCTGAGAGTTCAGGGGGAGGGCGATCAAGGGGAGATGGACAGTGTGAATGGGAGGGCGTGAGGATGGGGGGTGAGGATTGAAGTGCCGAGACCACGCTGCCTGCTTCATAGGCCGGAGATATGTGACCACAGAGCTACGCATTCACTGCCTGTATATGCGGCGGTGAGTGCGCAGCTCCCATCGCCACCAGTCCCTCGACTCTACAATCCACCCAGCCCCCATCTCCCCTTCACGCCCGCCACATATACAGGCAGTGAGTGCGTGTATGTATGCAGTATATGTGGCAGGCGTGAAGGGGAGATGGGGGCTGGGTGGATTGTAGAGTCGAGGGACTGGTGGCAGGAGAGAAGCTGGCAGGCACTGGTGTGCGAGCACACACTACTGACGGACTGACCTTGCGCAGTGGACAAGACGAGGGCAGCGAGGGCAGCCTTGAGAGCGAGCCTTGCGACTCGTCTCAAGAGGCGCAGCGACTGACCTTGGAGGCAGCAGAGACGACGAGCGCAGCAACGGCGGCAATGATGGCCTTGCATGTGAGCCCCTGCACGGTGGCTGTTGAGGGCTCTTGACGCGCCTCAGGAGTCGCACTGACCGACTGACCTTAGAGGCAGCAGAGACGACGAGCGCAGCAACAGCGGCAATGATGGCCTTGCGTGTGAGCCCCTGCACGGTGGTCAGCGCGTCCAGCGCGCGCTTGAACATCAGCGGCCCCGCTAGCCCCGCCGTCTGCCACCCGTGGGAGGGTGTGGAGGGGTGTGGAGGTGTGCGGTTGCAGGGGTGTGGGCGTGTGGGGGAGGGGGCGGGGAGGTCAGGGGAGGTGGGATAAGGGAGATGGAGGAAGGGAGAGGGAAAGCAGGCGTCTTTTCAGAGCAAGAGAGGAGGAGAGAGGCCAGGCGACACGAGAAGCAAGCCCACGGAACAGAGAGGAGGAGGTACATGCGCTGCACGCACTTGCACTCACCTTCTCCTCTCTCATTCACCCACTCCTGCCGATACCTTGCCACCAGCATCCCCTTACAAGCGAGCTCCCCCTATCCACCCCCGACACTTCACCATGCTCCTTCTTCCACGCTTTTTGCCAGCTTTCCTCGTTTTCTCCCCTGCAACGTAATCACCCCCTCCCTCTCCCCGCACCACCACCTACCCCAATTCCCCTCCAAAGCTCTTTCCACTTCGACCTCTTGACATTCCTTCCCCCGTTCCCCTTTTCCCCTCTCCCCTTTCCCCCTCTTCCCTTTTCCCCTCTCCCTTTTTCCCCTCTTCCCCGCACCCTCCCCCCCTTCGCCTCTTCCCGCATCCCCCCTCTCCCCTCTCCCCTTCCCCCCACCCACCTTGCCCGCGATGAGCAGCAGCAGCGCCACGAGGATGCGCCACCTCAGCGACCTGTCGTCCGCCGCCAGGCGCCACAGGTACGGCAGCACCTGGGGGGGGGGAGGGGGAGGGGGAGAGGGGGAAGGGGAGAGGGGGAGGCGTGGGGGAGAGGGGGAGGCGTGGGGGAGCGGGGAACACGTTGAGCGACCACAGGCGGCACAGGTACGGAAGCACCTGGGGGAAGGTAAAGGGGGAGGAGGAGGGGGGAGGGGGAGTGGGGGGGTGGGGGGTTGGGTGGTAAATAGTGGGGTTTGCGCTGGAGGGAACTGCGTTAGGGCGGACGTGCACGGAGGGCGATGCACGCGCGCAACCCTGCCCGCACAATCCAACCGATTCCCTACCACCCACCCTGCCCGCGGCGGACCGCGCCTCGTCCCCAGCCGCGCCCTACCCCCAGAATCGATGAGTCCTTAGGCGACGGCGGCAGTGGCGCCGGCGCCGTGGCCCACGACGAGTGTAGCCGCGGCGGCGCGTCCGCTCCCGCATCCGCCTCCCACGCGAACACCTTCCGCCGTCCCGCTGCGCTCCGCGCACCGCTGGCGCCAGCTTGCGCCGCCTCCGCCTGACCGCCCGGTGCGGCGGCAGCGGCTGCTGCGGCGGAATTCGCGCCGGAATTCTCGCGACGGCCGTCTCCAGCCGGCCAGGGGCTCGCAGCGGCGGCGGCGCTAGCGGACGTCACGAGGCGGCGGATACTATGGGCCCCAGCAGGGCGGGAAGAAGTGCCAGGAAGGGCGAGGCGTGGGGGAAAGAGGCGACAGGCGGAAGCGGAGAGGAAAGGCGAGGGGGAAGGGACCGCCTTGGGACGGTGCGAAGGACAGGAGATATGTCGTTGGGAACGCGGAAACGCGGCGTTACGAGCGTATGATGCGATCGGACGGGAAGAGAGCAGAGAACAGTGGTCGCGAGTCGGGCGAATGGGAGAGGCGCCTAGCTTAGCTGGCCGAGGCGCCATCGTCGATTGCGCGACGGCAAGCGCGGATGGAAGGGTCGACATGGCGGTGTAAGAAGGTCGGTCACGACATACGGTTGCTGCTGGCGTTGCTGTGCAGTGCGCGGCACGCGGTCAAGAACTAGGGGTACGAGACGCGCACGAGGATGCGACGACGGGAAGTGGTAGTAGACTGCGCTAAGTTGGCGCTTCGCAAGGCGGCAATGTTCGATGCAGAGGAGACTTTACAAAGCGTTTGTATTTCGGGCAACATATTTGAGAGGGGAGGGGCTTACGAGTTCAGTCCTGCGAAACCCTTTGGTGGTAACTAAAGACAATTGCGACACTCAACATCGGGGATTGCGTGTGTCGTTCCAATTGTGCGACTCCACAACTCCCTGGCCCGAATCGAGGTTGGGGGCTGAACTGACACCGCCGAACAACGAGGATTCGACACGTCGCATTAGTGAACGACCATTGGTAGCGTGCCACGTTGACGAGTCTGTGATACGTAGCTGCCTGCTCACTTTCAGTCAAGTAACACGAGTACAGCATAAAGCTATTCTTGCGGACACGATGCATACTCACCAACGCGATGCATACTCACCAACTTCAAAGGACATGACATGACGAATGGCAAAAATAACCAGGCTTAGATGTTTACCATCTACTTTCCAGGTCAAGAACATTGATGCCAAGCCGTTTCCAGGAAAAAAATGTGTGTAAAATATCCACAAAGGCCACTATAATATTTACAATAGATGCATATATACATTACGGTGCAAGAATAGATACAATTCCGTTCCTTCCACGCTCCTTCGGTTCCACATTCGAATGCACGTGATCTACATGTGACAGTTCATGTTACTGTAATGCCCATCGTCCATCATTTTGTCTCCACGGGCTGACCGCCGTAAGTATGCTTGTAAATGCTGGAGAAATCTTCGGCTGCCACTCCCGCCCTCACCATGTCAGCATACCTGAATAAGAACATCAACAGTGAGTGGTCATGCACTGAAACGCTGTGACCAGATCACCGCTTGGCAGAGCCTGAAAAGCACAATCTTACAGGTGCATCTCCCAAACAAACACCATCCCGAATTTATTTTTTAATATGTGTGGTGTGATCCCTCAGCAATTTACATCATAAAATCCATGCGCCTTCACACACCAGCCCCCGGGGAAGCATCCCATCTGCCCAGGTCTCACATGGCCATGACGTTCGTCCCCAGTGGAACCGGCGCCCCTGCCGCCTGTGCTGCTGCCACTGCCAGACCCAGGTCCTTGCTCTGAGGGGAACGGGGCGGAAGCAGGCAGCGTGGGGGGTGGGGTTGCAAGGGAAGAGCCGGAGCAGAGACGGCGGGGGGAAGCGACTGGGAATTTAGGAAAGTCTGGAGGAAGGTTGTGCGTGGAAAGAAGGACCTGGAGGGATGGAGATGGAGCAGGGGCAGTTGGGGAGACAAGAATGACCAGCGGGGAAGAGAATGGGGCGAAGGGAATGCTATGAATTTGTTTACAAAAGAAAACGATAAAGACGTGCAGTTGAGCATCAACCATTGAATACGCGTCGCTGCTCACACTTGTCCACTGCCTTTCTCAGTGCAGACAAGTCTGGCAGAACGTAACACTCTGGCAACACAGATACGTGCCTAGGAAGAGAAGCAACATGTCATGCCATGCCAGCATCACACACACGATCACATCGCCACACACACACCGCCCACAGCAGCACAGACCATGAGGGCATTGGAGAAGCCGCCCTGGTAGTGGCGAGCAGAGGGCACGCCCTGCATCACGCCCGGTGCCGGGTTGTACACCTCACTGATGCCCCGTGGCATGCCACCATGGTGGAGTGATGGGGAGCAACGGCGGTGCGATGTTGCAGAAATAAAAAACGACAAGGAAGACGAGAGGGGAAAGGGTGGACTGGAGTTAGTATTTGCAGCACTTTCAGCATCATGTTTGGATGGATGAGTTGAAGGCGGGCACGAGGACAACATTAGTTGCGAGAAATGGACACTAGTTTCAGGTGAATGAGATCAGTATGGGCCCATGAGAGCAGCATGGGTGTGCCGTGCCCCACCTGGTCCAGCATTAGTGAGACGAGGCCAACATCATCAGGTGCGAAACATGAGCACTAGCTGCAGGTTAGTGCGAGCCAGTTGAGTCGAGTCAAAGACCATGAGAGCAGCATCACCCAGTGTGGAGCAGCATGGGTGCACCGTCCTCCCACCTGGACCAGCACTGGGCGGAGGAGGAGTTGAAGATGGCGGAGAGCAGCGCGGGAGAGAGGCCCAGGCGCTGCCCCAGAGCGAGGGCCTCGGAGACTGACGCCATTTGGATGGCCAGAGCCAGGTTGTTGCATAGCTTGGCCGCCTGCAGGGATGGATGGATGGATGGATGGATGGATGGATGGATGGATGGATGGATGGATGGATGGATGGATGGATGGATGGATGGATGGATGGATGGATGGATGGATGGATGGATGGATGGATGGATGGATGGATGGATGGTGGTGCACGGTGGATGCATGATGAGGTGATTGTGAGGTGCATGGCACATGGAGATCCGAATGCATCGCTCCAAGAACCGGAGAAAAAAATGGCACACGGCACAACGCCATGCATCCCAATAGCTGTCTCACCGAGCCGGATCCAGAGGGCCCGCAGTGCAGCGAGCGAGAGCCCATGGCTGCCAGCAGCGGCTCCGCCATGGCGAACGCTGCTGCCGTGCCTCCCACCTGGTGTAGAGTGGAGGGGAGAGAGGTGCAGAAGAGGAGAGGGCGGGGAGGAGGGGAGGAGGGGAGGGGGGAAACGGGAGAGGAGAGGAGGAGAAGAGGAGAGGGGAGGAGAGGAGAGGAGGAGGAGGAGAGGAGGGTGCAGGAGGGGCACAGGGAAAGGTGCACACATTAGGCATGCTACAATTGGGTCCATTTGTGTGCTACAGACCATGTCACATTCGAGCAGGACGCAAGGCAGGAGGGAGAGATCACGAGCCGGACTCAGGAGCAGCAGCCTAAACAACCAAGTCCACCCATGGAGAACGTAACGGGCATGTGCATCGCACCATGAAGGTGAGTGTGCCTGCCTTGGCGCCAACCACACCTCCTGACACTGGTGCGTCCACTACCAAGGGGGGACCTGCGCTCGGGGCAGCGCAGCAGCAGGGATTGGAATCGCGGGGAAATACAGAAGAATGCGGAATGAGGGGAATGCGGGACGAAAATTGGGGGTTGCGAGGGGAATTGGGCGATTAGGAAGAGGTGGACCGAGAATATTGCTGTGATGTGAACGTGGGTACCGATGTGTGAAGTCAGATTGAGAACAGCACCCACGCGGCATGCACACACGGCAACCGCCCTGTCAGGCCGACTAGTGAGTCAGCAGCTAGTGCAGAGCAGAGTGACTCACATGTCCCTCTGCGCCCACCCACCTTGCAGCGAGTGCAGTGCGCTGGGCGCCACGTGGCATGCTTGCACGGCAGCTGCGAGGGCGTGACACGTGGCAGGGTCCACAGTGGACGCATCGATGAGCAGATGCGGCCTGATGGTGTGTGTGGAGGAGAGAGGCGCGGAGGAAGAGGGGGAGGAGGGGAGAGGAGAGGAGGGAGAAGGGGTGGAGGCGGAGGGGGAGGAGGAGCGGGAGGAGGAAGGAGTGGATGAAGGGGGAGGAGTGGAGGAGGAGGGAGTGGATGGGGCGGTGGTTGATGCTGTGAGCACGCCACTCGGGCCCGTGTATACATCTAGCACCTGCGAGCAGGGTGCAGCGGGAAAGAGGAAGGTAAAGCGTGCCGGAAACGAGGGTCGGGAAGGACGAGAGTTGCAAAGAAGGTTGCGACTTTGAAAAGACGTTTGAGCGTGCAAAAGGCGACTTCACGCCCCACGAGAACAGGAGCATGCAAGGCTGTGCTCGGGAGAGCCATGGGATAATGTTGGGTTTGGTGAGACAGACAGAGGCAGGAGCATAGCAACTGTGTGGTAGCGGCAAGCTGGACTGGAGGCACCGTTAACATCAACAAGCCCCGGCATCTCACAATAGCTGGCGTGGGCAGCATCGTTATAATCACATCCGCTTTGGAGGCCAGGTCTGCAGGCGAGTCCGCTGGTTGCGCGCCCTGCTGCACCAGCGACGCCATGGCTGCCTCGTTCCTGCTGGGGCACAGGACGAAGAGAGCAGCGGCGTACCAATGAGGGCGGACGAGCGCGAGACACGAGGCGTTAAGCATGGTAGGCATTGATTAGGAGGGAAAGGCCGGGAGAAACGGGACCAGGCGAGAGGCGGAGCAAGGAGGAGAGCGGTGGGGAGAGGCCGAGAGAAACGGGGAGAGGCGGGCGACCTGTCGAAGACGGCGAGCGGGTAGTTGTGGCGGAGAACGTTGGCCGCCATGCACGCTCCCATGTTGCCCAGCCCGATGAACCCCACCACCGCCTGCACGCCGCGCATGGGAACGACGCGCACGAGCACGACGTGCGCCGAGAGAACAAATAAAAGAAAAGAAAAGAGAAACACGTGTCGGGTGTGCGCAGTGCTCACCCACGAAATTTGCTGGGATTATGTCGACTAGAAATAAACGGCATAAAAACGGAGCATGGACTCTAGAACAGCGTGTGCTGACGTCGTAAAAGAGCAGTGGCCTTGCCTTGAGAGAGTGAGCGACATTGTTGGCAGCAGCAGAAGCCATGGCGGCGCAAAGCGGGAATTCGGCTCACGAACAGACTCAAAACTTGCGTGACTTCAAGCCTATGCAGCTTTGTTCGTGAGTTTCATCAAATATGGATTCACTTGAATCACAGTTCAGCCGACCGACTCTCGCATTTCGAATCACAGCCGTTGGATGATGAGCTGCGCTGCTGCCTTTGATTGAGTGCGGTTGACAACGTTCCTGGCTGCCATGCCACGTCATGACACGTCAGACCTCGCTGCTGCTTTCTGGTCGCCTGGTTTGTGACAATTGACGCGATTGAGAACTGGAAGGGGCTACATACAAGAATGTTCAGTATGAAATGACTAAATAGATTAGTTAGTGTTCTCTTAATCCCATCTGGAAAGTGATCAACAAGACTTAATGTTTATTCAAAAGTATATATCCGTTGTAATTGGTATAATTTGGATCTCCGTTGGTTGTTTAATTAATCTTAGCGTAAATATTTGGAAATTTATAGGGAATATCAAGGTTTGGCGAACCATTTCGCGTGTATGATATTGAACGTCAAAAATCAAATGTAAAAAATAAATCCAGTATAACATATATAATGGAGCTAATGCGTTTCAGAACACATAGTCTGAATGCCATGTAAAGAAGCTGACTTACATATCATACAACTTACATTTATGCTGGGATTTCAATCAGCTACAGAATATGTACGAAGCATTCACAGCACTAACGGATAAAACTGGACCGAATCTCTTGTCACGTGATCTCTGTCCACGCGAGCAGCCACCTGGACTCGCGAAATCCATGCGTGTGCTGGCTGACGCAGGATGGTGCTGTAATCCACGGCTTTCCAGGGTTTCGGCAAGCCTTGAACGTTTTTTAATTGGACGTGAGTTGCCTTCGGGTTTCCAGGCCCGTTCGATTACTGCAGCCAGCTGGGCTTCGCCGCGTGTTTTGGGAGTACAGTTGCGTGGATGTTGAGCGGCTCCACTCGGCATTCCAATAGAGCACGAGGTGCGCGACTCGGATGACTCGGGCGAATGGAAGGGCATATATAACATTTTGAGCCTTTTTAACCTGGAAAGATCCAATAACGGAGGGCGTTGAGACTTCAAAATCATCCTCACCTGCCTGGAAAATCCTGACAGAAGCGCCCCGCTCTGCCCGGCTGCCCGGTAACATTCTCCCACACATCCTCCATGGCATGACATCCCTTCATTGCCTTGTTCAAACTTCCGAGCCCTTGGCCCGGCGCGCATGCACAGGTGAAGTTGCTTGCAGTCGCTGCCATCAGACTTCACTCCAGCCTGCCATCAGACTTAAGACTCAAACCCCTTATTTGCCGAATTCAGTCGTGCTGCTCAAGTATTTTGCCCCAGTTCACTTCAAACATTCTGGCGTCTTCGCCCTGACTTGAATTCAGGTCTTGTACAAACTCACGCTTCTTTCACTACGAAAGCCAGTTGGCAGTTGAGCTCAAAGCCTCTCTCAGCCCTCTGACTGTTTTGAGCAGCAACAGGAGGAAGTCTCGTGTCATAGACGTTTCCTGCAGTGGAACTTGAATCTTGTCAGGAGGCTTCGCGTATGTTATCTGCTCAATCAGCGTGTGACCACCCTTCCTCATTTTTCAAGAGCATCTCGCACGCGTGTGACCACTCTTCCTAATTCACGCACGCTAGCTCTACTGCGTGTCTCTGTCCTGTCGGGTGCAGTAGTTGCTCTTCTTGACTCCCATCCGTCAGCATGCCACCTCCTTCTATGCCAGAAATTCACGAAGGTTGCAGAGAACAGCCTGCGTTGTCCAAGGCATCAACGGCTCCAAGAAAGCCAGCGGCGGCAAGGAGTCGTCCGTTGCCGCTGACGTCGCTGAACCACGTGTCCATCCACTGCAGCAATGTGGAGCAGTCCGTCATTTTCTACTGCGACGTCATGGGATTCGTGCCCGTGCGCCGCCCCGACTGCCTCAACTTCGACGGCGCTTGGTATGCGTCACAGGCCCTCCGCGCAATGTCATGCCAGAAAAATATTATGTGGCGGGCCCGTGTTGTTCATGAGTCTCCATCAGTGGAGAATAACCATGTACTACTAGCTGAGCTTTGTTTATCCACTGTTCATGTCCCTAAACAAAGTAACGTTAAACCATGTCCCTAAACAAAGTAACGTTCATCCATTCCTTCTCACCAGGTTGTTCAACCATGGGATTGGAATTCATCTGCTGGGGCCGAGTGAGGACCCCCATGCACCGCAATTGCGAGTCCCGAAGGAAATAAACCCGAAATCGGACCACTTCTCATTCCAGGTAAGAATACACCTCGATGCCGGGGTTGCGTCGCGTGTTCACAAACTCGAAGCTCGTTTCCCGATACCTTTGTTCGCAGTCTTGAATATTGCTTAGAATTCATCTCTTCTGCTTGCTCGCAATGGTGTCATTTCAGTGCGACGACATCGAGGAGGTGGAGAGCGGTCTCGAGGAGCGAGGCATTCCGTTCCTGCGGCAGCGCGTGGAGGAGGCGGGAATTATGGTGGAGCAGCTCTTTTTCCACGACCCTGACGGCCACATGATTGAAGTCTGCAACTGCGACCTGCTTCCCGTCGTGCCGCTCCGCCCCGACCCTGACATGCCCCTCGCTCTGCCTGCCTGCGTGCGCCGTAAGCCACAGGCGTGTGGGAGGCAGGTGCTGCAGAAAGGCGAGCAGGAAAGCTGCAGCCATAGCAGTGAGGAGAGTGGCAGTGAGAGCGGTTGTGATGAGGGGAAGGAAAGGGAAGAGAGTGGGGGTTCCGAGGCAGATGAAGGGTTTAGCCACGGAATTCATGTTGTGGAGCAGCATGGTGGAAGCACAAGAAAGGTGGCATGCTAGTGAGCATGCTTTATTGATTGCATTAATTCCATCACAGAATTGTATATCTTGTATATCATTCACGCATCCGTTTCATTGTATAATTCCTTCTATTGCATTGTAATGGATATGGCCTAACTTATCGTACTTGGTTTCTAGGTGGAAATATATGGTACACACGCTAAGTTTGAATTTACCTTTCAATCCTGAAGTATAGGCCTTTAACAAAATCTTGCATTGAAGCTAGTTGCAAACGCGTATCTGAGGGGCATTCCAACACCTGTTCGCTTTTCCTCGGTCTGACGTCCATGCAAATGCGCGTGGCTGCAGCCACCCCTGCATCTCGCGTATCGGCCAGTCAACCACATCGCGCCTCGCTTCCTAGCCTCCCCGCCTACCCCTCAGCCTCAGTTCCTCAGGCACGCCTGTCGCATCCATGTCGGCTTGCGACCGCCTCCCGCCATGCACCCTTCCGCCTTCACCGCCCTTTCCCGCAGGGAGGTTGGCCGCGCGCCTCTCTTTGGTCGCCGCGCGCCTCTCTTTGGTCAGCGCGCGCGTGTATGCTCCCCCCTCGGCGCGCCTGACCCTCCCCCTCTGCTCCCCGGCGGCTCCGCTTCCGCCACTCCCCGCGCGCCGTACTGTCCGCGCGCGCTTCCCGGGTATCTGAGTGCGCGCGCATGGGCTTCGCTGCAGCCGGCGGCGCATGACTGCTACGACTACGCGCTCTCGTCTTCCGCTTCCGCCATGCAGGCGCGTTCCGCGCATTGCGCAAACCGTCCATCACACCTCCTTACAGCCCGCGCGCCTTACGCGCTCCTCCCCACCCCCGCCCACCTCACTTCCTTCCCTCACACTTACCTCCCTTTCCTCATCTCCCTCCGTCTCCCCTCCACCCTCCCCTCGTTTCCTCCGCTTCCCCCTTTCCCCCCCGCAGGTGGACCCCTCGGAGCAGCGCTATCTTCTAGTGGGCAGCGCGGCGGGCGCAATTACCGCATTCGACACGGCCGCGCCCACCGCCGTCGACGCCTTCGCGCACCCCTGCCACCCGCCCCTCTTCACCCTCCCCCGCGCGCCCTCCTCCGCCTCCCCCGCCTCCACACACGCCGCGCGCTCGCTCACGGACGCGTCCGCGCCGTCCGCGGCGGGCGAGGCGCACTCGCTGGCGGTGAGGGGCGTGGCGTGGTACCCGGTGGACCCGGGGCTGTTCCTCTCCGCGTCCCTCGATGGCCTCGTGAAGCTCTGGGACACCAACACCCTCCAGGCGCGTGCCCCGCTTTCCACTCCACACTCCCCCTTTCCGCCCTTCCCCCGGTCTTCCTTCCGCCCCGTCGTCCTCCCCATCCTCAGCTGTCCCTTGTCTCTGGCATTGGCTCTCTCTCGGTTTCTTCTTCCAACTTCCCCTTTTTCCTCCCCATCTCAGTCCTCCCTCCTCTCGCTCACACACATGCTTCTTATCTTGTATCCTTATAGCGCTTACCCCTATTCACACCTTCCTGTATCATCCCCCCTTATCTGCTCCCTCCTCACCAACCTTACTCGTCATTCCGCGCGTGCCACCTCCCCACCCCCCATTCATGCCCGGTCTCATTCCGCCCCAATCCTCGTTGCCGCCTTGTCCCGCCAGGCGCTGCTGTGCTTCCACATGCCAGGGCGGGTGGGGGACGTGGCCATGTCGCACGCACAGGGGGCGCCACTGCTGGCAGCGGCGGCGTGTGAGGACGGCAATGTGCGCCTCTGTGACCTCGCCTCGGGCGCTGCCACTCACATGCTGCGCGCCTCCCAAGGTGCCTCCCAAGGTGCCTCCCAAGGTGCCTCTCAGGTGCCTCTCAGGTGCCCCCGTGCTTTTCAGGTGCTTCGAGCCTCTCATCAGGTGCCCCATGCCTACCCCTCCTCTCCCTCGTATCCCCATCCACCCCTCGTAATCACACAAAGTTCCTCCCCTGTTCCCCCTCCCCCCCTCCCCCTCCCCCCCTCCCCTCTCCCCCCTCTTCCCCCCCCCCCCCTCCTCCTTCCCCCTCCCCTCTCCCCCCTCTTCCCCCCCCCCCCCTCCTCCTTCCCCCTCCCCTCTCCCCCCTCTTCCCCCCCCCCTCCCCCCCAGGCGCCATCACGAGCCTGTGCTGGTCGCCCGCGTCGCCCTTCCACGTGGCCTCGGGATCATCGGCCGGCGCCATCCGCATCTGGGACATTCGC